CCTTCGTTCATCTCGACTCGATGGCAGCTCCTAGTACACTTAAATGACAGCTCATACAGGCATTGATGTGCCCTGCCACGGTCCTGCGGATTCGAGTCCTCTGAAAAGCACCCTGGAGTGGCATAACCAACGCAATGGTGCGCCCCACCCACATTCCCGCTGGGCCGTTATCCAGCACACATCCACAACGCTGCGGTGTGGCCGAACGGTGGTTGATATGTTATCCTATTTTACTTTTATGACTGCCGTCTGATGGCCTCAACCCACTTGAGCATTGACACACAAGACCCACTCGCTGTTGGCTGCGGCAGTGAAGCGGTGATGAACCCGCTGCACGAATGACCGTGCTCCTGGCGAGCTGAAGTATCCTAATATCTGCTCGCTGATAACTTCTCCTCTGCAATCGCCGTGTGCTCTGCGACAGATCTCGACTTACGTACGGTACCGGTACCTTGTGTCAGTTGCAGCCGTTTCCTCCATGTCGCATATCAACGTTGAGAGTGCATACAAGGAATTCTGCGACCCCTCACCCCTTTGGCCGTTTGGTGGCGCCGATAACGCCGCAGCGCTGCACCCCAGCATCGCTGCCCATGTGGCGGTGCACGTGCTCGCCACCCTGCGCCCCGCCGACAAGCGCAGCCTGCGCGCCGTCAACCGTGCCTGCCGCGCGCTCGTCAACGCCTCCGCGCCCCGCCTGCGCGTCACCACCGCGGCCGGCTTCCGCGCGCTCTGCGCGGCCGCGCGCGGCGGCCGCCTGCCTGCGCTGCGCGAGCTAGAGCGTGATGCACGCGGAAGCTTCTCGGACGAGCGCGACCTGCTGCTCGCCGCGCCCCTGCCGCGCGGACTGGGCGGGGTCACGGCGCTCGTGCTCCGCTGCGGGAGCTGCCACGCGCGCGTGCGGCTGCAGACCAAGACGGTCAAAGCGATGGTGGCGCAGCTAGGGGCGCTGCCGGCCCTGCGGCGGCTCGAGGTGTGGATGCGCGACGACGCGTCGTCCGCCAAGGCGGCGACGGTTATCAAGGCTGCGGCCAAGCATCCTGGGCTGCAGGTTTTGAGGCTGCCAAGCACCTACGCGTTCGGCAAGGGCAGCCTGGCCCTGAGCCGGTCGCTTGCCCGCGGCGCTTGGCAACAGCTGCAGGTGGGCGGGGGCCGCGCTCGCTTCCGCAACTGCAGCGTAGACGCTGCACGAAGCGATGCCCCAGCTGAATCATCAGCAAACCACCTGCCATCATCGCATCACACCCACAGCAGCAGCGCCGTGCGTGAGGTTGTGTTCAATACCTTGTACACACTCAAGCGTCCACACACGCACATCCACACGTGTACGCACACCAGCACACACCTCACAGCGCACACCTGCTTGCCCGCCCGCCGCCCTCCTGTATATACAGGAGCTGGAGCTCTGCCACGTGGAGCGCTGCGGCGTCGAGGCCCTCGTCACATCGCACCTGTCAGCCCTCCAGTCCCTGCGCCTCTGGCACAGCCCCGGGCTCTACGGCCAAGCCGGCCTCCGCCGGCTGGCGGCGGCGCCGCGGCTGACCCAGCTGCGGCGCCTCGCCCTGAACGCCCCGGGCGTGATGTCCGACGTCGCGGTGCTGCGCGGCGTAAGCCTGCCGCTGCTCGAAACCCTCGAACTTGTCCAAGGCGACGACAGCGATGCGCAAGATGAGGCTGACGAGGCGGGAGGCGGCGACGACGATTCGATTGGCGCCGTTGAGCTTGTCGGCGGTGAGGGAAGGTGGGGGTTTGGGCACCTCGCGGCAGTGGACATGCCTCGCCTCAGGACCCTTTGCGTGAGGGTGCAAGCCGGGGAGATCGAGCCGGAGGCGTTGGCGGGGCTCGAGCACGCGCCGTGGGCAACTGGTTTGGAGGCCCTGCGGCTGCGGCCCCTGAGTGATGCCGGGTGCCGCCGCCTCGCCGCTATGCCTCTTGTTCGTCTGCGCACATTGGAAGTAGGGAGCAGTGCCCGCATGACGGATGCGTCGCTGCACGCGCTGGCCGCGGCGGTGTTCGCCAGCAGCCTCACTGCACTACGCGTTTCAGATGCTCACTTTGTTGACGCGGCAGGGCACTTATTTGTCAAACCTGCGCCCCTCCAGAGTCCTGCGCATGCCTCCACCTTGTGAACTCCGGCTTGTAAACTTGACTTCATGCACTGCTGGCGACTGGAGCGTGATCTTCTTCTTGTACGAGCAGACAGTCTGGTTGCGCACGCTCCTCCGTGGAGCTTTTGCACATGCGCGCATCTTCACTTCACGCAGCAGCGCATGTGCACGCTCCATGTCGTGGGCCGGCTGTCACCACAGTTGGCACCGCAGGTGGCTGGCGGGTGAGCACAAGCGACGCACGCGCCCGGGGCCTGGACCAGCCGTGTCCGCTTGGGACCTCCGTATCAGAATTCCTCCACCTGACCTGAGGCTGAGTGCCGACGTGCGGTTTCCACCGCACAGCTGCTTTTTCCATGGCAGGTCGCGGACCGTCCCCCCGATGCCAACTCGCCTAGTACCTTGCTTGTGCCTTTCTGGACAGACTTTCCGTCCTATGCTGGCAGTGCGCTCCCTGGTTTCACGATTCTGCAGCCAGCAGCTTGCAATCCAGC